GCCAAGCAATGTCATACCTTCATATCGAAGAGTTCCACGAAAGACTGTTGATGCTTCATGTCCTATTCCATACAAGTCCCCATAAACTAGCGAGTTACGATTTGGAAGGCATTCTAACGAGAAGGCTGGAAGGTCTGGAACCCGATATTTCGCAGCTGAATCATAAAGATCCTTCCCTGCAATTTTGTACCATAAAGATAAAAGTGAAAAAGTGCAGAATGACTCGTATTCATTATGATAATCAAAATAGCTCATCACTGACAACATACCATCAACTTCTACAACTTTGCCGTTAGATTTGTACGTGGCAGGATTACGTCCAGCTCGAATAGCTCCTGCAGGACTCCAACTGAAATGATAGGTTAATAGAAGTTAGAAGGAAAACTATACACAGTAGATATAATTAAGGAGGGTATCCAATCCGAGTAACCTGAATTTATATGCTAACGGATTGTTTGCTGCAACTGGGGATGGCAGTCCACCACAGTAAGAAGTGAAAGACCTTATTTTCCCCTTCCGAACGTGTGCTTGGTTGATCATCTTCATCGCCATCATATGATCTGAAGTCGGACGAAATCAAAATAGTAATTGCATTACTAATAGGCCAAAGTTTTTGCAATCACAAGGACTAGTTTCAATAGTTCTCTTTTTGGTCATTTGAAAGCGTTTCTGGTTATTCTAAAAGCACTTCCGGACATAAAGTCATTACCTATCCCAGGGTCCAAGCCCATCTCACCAAGAATCGTAATACCAGCACTCTTTGCCTTCTCATCCAGTTTTGACATGGATTCATCAACATAGCTAGCAGTGACAAGATGCTTTTTAAGCTGAATGAAGACACAAAACCTTTTTCCTTAGCTGAAGGAAGGCAGAAAAAGTAAAGAACGAAAAACAAAGAAAATATAACAGTGAGGCAACGTGAAGTACCTCAATACATGCATTTGCTACAGTAACGTGGCAAAAAGCCGGCAGTAAACTTATAACAAGTTCAGCCTGCATGAGGGAAACAAAGAACACCAAAAAAATAAGACTGCGATTGAAGCTTTGCAAGTTTTGAACACCGAAAATAGTAGACATCTAAGTTAAACAAATCATTTTGATCATCTGTGATATAGCTGCTAGGCATTCGAGTTCTCTGAAATTCAAAAACTGCTCTTTAAACCGTACTGCAGAAAAGTCATTACCTCAGATATATACCTATGCAGACTGCCAGTGTCCGAAATATCAAGTTGAACTGCTGTTGCATTTGGAATACCTTCAGTGATCTGCTCCAAAATTTCAGCATCAAAATGTTCAAATGCAAAAAAATGAGACGAACACATAAAAGTTTGCGCATCATTCTTGAATGAAAAAATATACATCATGATAGAATTGAAAGCAGGTTTTTGAAATATATGATTTTCTGCAGCCATACCTCTTCAGCATCCTTTAGGTAGAGAGATGCAACAGTAACTTGCACATCATTAATCTCTTCGAATTCATCTTCAAGGCATGTTTTGTACCATTCGTGGGATGGCATTCCGCTAACTGATGCTAACATCTCAGCAGCTGGCTGGCAGACCCGGCCTGCTCCAATAATCAGAACCCCAGCCTTTCTTTTTGTGTCATTTCCCTTTTTAGTGGGACTGTGCTGGACTTCACCAAAACTCAAAGAAAATTTATTTTTCTCTTGCTTTAAGTCATGATTTTCGTTTGAATTCGCTAGAGAAGTTAAAGAGTCGATAATTTGATCAAGAACGGCCCTGTCATCTGCACCCACCTGTCCATAACAACGATTTCATGCTATGAAAGTTGGCGTAAAGATAACTTGTACTCGAAGATACCAAAGTGAAAAACTCTCCGATGACCAAACTGGCTAGAGGTCTACTTACTTCAAGTTCAGAGAATGATGGAGAATTCGAACATTGACCCACGTCACACTTAACCAAATGAAAGGAGCCGCCTGCAGCTTCAATGATATCTAAGGCCTCATTTATCAGAAACTGATCAAATAGGTGACCACTGAGAGATACCTGTGATTTAAAATGAAACTCAGCATATATGGCATGAAAAGCAGAGAAATATCCGAAATTGTTAATAGAAATAGAGAAACTTACTGATATGTTGTAGTTCTTGTTAGAGTTGTGATTAGCAGGATTCTTAGATATTTCTCTGCAAATCAAAAGGAGAATATATGCTTATCGTAACAACAAAGAACAAGAGGCAAGTATATATGTGAAATGAAAGCGAAACTTACTCTGAGTCTGACTTTCTCATACGCGGAATATATTCATACAATGAGGTAAGTGCTCCTTCATGGGTTATGCAAGCTCTCCTTAAATGTGCAGGCAACTTTGTAATGTCTTTTGTAGAAGCCAAATTACCAACAAAATTGGACAATATGTCTCCAAAATGTTTCGAAGCCTTCCCAAAATTAAAGAAATGTTTTATCAAACCACGAGAAGTATAATCTCTGGCATTAGACTATCCTAGAATTACTGCATTTACTGAAAAAGAAGGCAGGGATGAAAGTAGTGCACCTCTTTTGCAAATTCTGTCGGAAGAATGTCCACAGCTTGACATATCACACCAGCGTCGTCCATGTCACGATGGTAAGAATTAGTCACAGGATCGTATCTGCAAACCATGATACCGAAAGAACTGTTATTTTCAAAGCTGCAAATGCTATGTTGCGAGCAAGAAAATGCATTTTGAGGTTGTGTTTATGCATGAATCTATGGAGTATGACTTATACCTGAAGAAAGGTGAGTCAATTGATGTGGTTTGGTTGACAAATTCTATTGACCCCCCTATGTCACAAGTTATGTCAGCGATTCCAACAAGCACACTTCCTTTCTTTGTTAGATCTTGAACCTGCTTAGTACTCAATAAGCGTGGAAATCGTTTCTCCCAATACATGCAATTCACTTCAAGGCGCAAAGAACATAAAGAGTAAAGTTTGTCTCTTTAAAATCTAATGGGATGAGAGGATGAAATGGATAACGATAGTTGAGAACCAAGGTTTCGAAAATCCATAAGTTAAAATCCAAGGCATTCATTTAATGACATTAACTCTATTGATTTGTCTAAAAAATTGATAGAAGAGTGTAAAGCATACCGATTACAGATGCATACGGGGCTATTTTTTCATGGAAAACAGGGTTGTAGTGTTCTGGATGCGCATAATAGTCAGCCTGAAAAATGCAGACGTTTTGAGTTAGTATAATCTGTTATACGTTGGCGAAAAACAAGACGTGAGGAATGAAGAATTAAAAGATGACTATGAGATCGGGGCTTACTTTGTCAAATTCTCTTGTTGGATCTTTGTGTTCAACCATGTGTTTACTAGTCACAACACAACCGTATACTTGGAAGATCCTTTTCGATTTTCGAGTAGTTTGAGCAGCATCCTTGGCCTAATCAGTAAATAAAAAATGAAAACCTAACACAAAGAAGGGTGACATCTATTTGTACAGAGCAGTTTCCACCTAAACTTTATGTCTCTCGAGTCGATAAGAACCTAATTAGAAGTGCATTTTCCTTCTATTATTGTTATCTTACAAGACCAAGTTGGAACCACATTTACTGTACTAGTTTTAGTACTTACCACCCCAAATAGCGCTGGAAGTTCACTTGGTTCCACAAAAGTATGAGGAAGAAGCTTAAATATCTCTTGTGCACCAGAAGCAACTACAGGAAATAAAATTACATAAGATATATTTTGCTATTAGATGTTAAAGAAATTTAAGCTTCGTAAGATCAAGCAATGTACCATTTCCTGAACCAGTGAAAACGAAGACAAGAGGACAGATCCCTGATGGCAGTCCGAGAGTTGCCATCTCTTCGCCCACAGAAATTACAGCCGCCTTGGCAGCAGCCAAAGATGGATACATATAAGATGCACCCAACGATAGGAACGGGGTCGAATATCCAAGACTTAGGTACCCTTGACAAATTAAAACAAAGTGAGAAAAAACCTGACATCCAAAGTACCCGAAAGTACACAAGAGATGGTCAAATATTAACATAGCTAAACAAAAATGAATACGAAAACGCCAGCTCATGCATTATTTCAAACATAAAATTGCCTTGACCAACAGTTTCACCACAGCAGATGAATTCAAAACATCTCAGATACTGTATGAATTGGAACATACTCTGTCCTAAACCAAGCAAGAAGTCGATAAATCCTGCTCTACCAGCATACTTTCCGAATGCAAGTAGTCTTTTCGCATGATCCCCGACAATAAGCTCGTAATCATAGAGAGACACTCTTTCTGCTAGGATCTGGACACCACACAGTGAGTTATAAATTGCTAACGAAGAAAAACAAGTATTTAAAACTGCTCGAAAACATACGAAAATCAAACAAGACCTTATCCAAGAGTGGCATGTTTTCCTTCTGAGCCTTATGAGTATGCGAAAAAAACGCATAAGCTCTATCCGGCAGAATCATCTCCAGCTGCACCAAATCCAAACAATTGTATCAAAATTTATGATCAATCGACAAAATTTCTCTTTACAAGGCGATATTCTAAACTATTCTGTTTACATGTGCAAATCAATTGACAAACTTGATGGTATATAAAACGAACGAAAAATTAGTACCTTTGGCTGTTTGATGCCGAGGATCAAACCACATTGTGACAAATCCTCAGAGATTTCACATCCAACATCTTCATACATTGCATCATGATGAATTCTCTTCGTCGAGGGCTGCAGTATGATCCGAGAAACTCCGGTTTTATCTCTTGCACTGTGGAGCAGCAGAGCGCAGTGTGACGGCGTCAGAGGCGCTCTTCTCTCCCACTTGTTCACAGACTCGGCCAAAATCCCCACCACCCCATTTCCAATCATTGTAATCTTAATAAAAAACCTATTTTCAGTTAGAACATTGTACACATCTTCATGAAACCATAACCTGCTACGTTTTCCAGGTTCAGTGGGAGATTCTTTAATAACTATATGCTTACCCATTTTTTCTAGCAAGTCATGCATCAAAATCCTATTACCTTCAATAGTTATGATGGCATTCTCAACGAGTTCTTCAATACAATCTTGAGGTACACTGAGCTTCAAACTTCTCAATATTTGTAATACATAGTCTTTATCTTCACCCTTGAAGAAGCATGCAATGTCTAGGAAAAATTGTTGCATTACATCATCCCAAGAATCATAACTTTTTCGAAGTATTCTTTGAATACCTCTATAAGGTTCTCCTTCGTAAGAATCATAACTATCCAATATAGCTTGCCAACTATCTATACTTTTATTACGCAGATGAGAACCTATAAGAGTAATAGCTAACGGAAGTCCTTGAGCATAGGCTATTGCACGTTGTGCAAGGCTTAAATAATCATCTGAAGGTTCTTTTCTTCCAAAGGCATTCAAACATAGAAGCTCAAGAGCCATGTCATCTTCTAACTTTTCGACCTCGTATATCAACTCGACCCCATAAGATTCTAGCAATCCTCTATCTTTTGTGGTTATGATCACTCTGCTACCCTCACCGAACCAATCGACTTCAACCAAGTTGTTTAACTGCTCCAATTCATTCACATCATCAAGAATTAAGAGAATCTTCTTTCGTCTCAAAAGTTTCTCTATAAGGCTGATTCCGTGATGAACATCGTCAATTTTCAACTCTGTACCACGTAGAACTTTTGATAGAAGAGTGTTTTGTAGTTTGATTATGCCTTCATGTGATGTTAATGTTTCTCTCACATCTGCTAGGAAACAACTACCTTCAAACTTATGAGCAATTGCATTATAAACAGCTTTTGCAATTGTTGTCTTGCCAATTCCAGATGCCCCCCAAATCCCAACCACACAACGACCATTTTCACCGACATCTAAAATCTCTTCCACCTCTTCTACACAAGATTGTATTCCAACTGGGTATTTGGCCACATTCAAATAAGTGCGTTGTAGTACTTCGACTGAGATTTCCTTAATAATCTTATTGATAAATGTAGCTTCATACCTACCAGTTTAAATAAAAAACTGACACATTTAGTCAATCAATTTTTTTGCTATATTTCTTTGTAAAAGAAAAAAAAGTAATAAAAAAAAGAAGGCTACCAAATCCATCACATTGTTTTATTTTTTCACTCACATTTTAATGAAAATGTTAGATCCCTAAGGGGGCGTTTGTTGCACCGGACTGTCTCGGATTGGATTAGCTTCAGAGACTAAGCTGGACTAATTTAGTGAAGCATTTGGTGTAGTGTCGGATTAACAAGTAGGATAATGAAAATAATACTGTAGTTTATTGTCGAAATTAATTTATTATTAATTTCTTCACATAATCTCTCTTTCTCAGCTTCCCTTCTCGATCTTGAGTTCACCAGCAAGCTGCTCCACTTCCCTCATTAACTTCACAATTTCACCATCTCTCTACTCATCGCCCTCTTAATCTCAAACTTTATCTGACATCATTTGCTCCATCTGGGTCAGAACAAAAACACCACAAACACTCTTCTCCAACTCTAACCCAACATTTTCCTTGCTCTACTCACTCAACTCGCTCACAAGTGGCTTAATCTCCACGACGGAACCGACTCAGCTCGGACTCCAAATCTGCCTTGCCCTGCACCAGCGACTCCACCTGCTGCTGGCGGTCCTTGGTTTCCTTGAGCAGCAGAGAATTCAGCGACTTAAGGTTCTGGAGCTTCTCAGATGGCTCGTCCATGGCTGTGGTGGCGGCATGAAATACGAGATTGAGGATTTTTTGCGGGTGATGGTTGGTGGTGGGAAATATGAGATGGGGGATTTTTTTGTGGTTGATGTTGGTGGTGGGAAATATGAGATTCGAGATTTTAGAGGATGATGACCATGGGGAAGCGAAGCAGCTTGCTAGGGATAGTTTGCAGATCTTAATTAAATCCCATCGAAATCCAAAATTAAGAAGCCCAGAACTCACAGAGGGGCTTGCAGGGAGGAGGAAGAAGCCGGTCTTAGCAAGTCCCATGGTTTGGGGAGGGCCTCACTAAGAACCTTTAAGGAGGCCTCTAGTCCACATGAGTCCTCTTTAGTCCCACTTAACTTAGTCCCATCACCTATCAAACATGGGACTGTAGTCCAGTCCAGTCCAGTCCCATTTAATGAGGTCAAACAAAAGCACCCTAATTGTTTCTCTCCCTCACCGTTTCATCCTCCATTTCTCTTTCCCCCATTTTTTTCTCTATTCCGTTTCGTCTCTCCCTTCTAGCTTCTCCACCGACGGCTACGTTATTTCTTCCCATCTCTCTCTCGGAAACCAGTATCAAATTATTCGAATCTCTCCCTCTCTCAACTACTCTCTCTCTCTCATTCTTCCCCAACCCAAATCTTCTGTCACTTGAAAATCCAAATTGCATAGCCGAAATAATCTCTCCTCACCCAATTTCCCCTTTTACCCTCTTTGTCTATATCTGATTTCCATTTGCTTCCACTGTCAATTTTGTACTCGGAATTAATTTCGAATTAATCAATTTTTGAGTTAGGGTTCATTTTTTATTTGGAAAAAAAAAAAAGATTGGTTGCTAATTCATTTATATATTTGGGTTGATTAATTAATGGAGTCAATTTTGATCGGTGGGAGAAAGATCCATTATTTCCGGTGGCGGAAGAAGTTCAAGAATCCACTGATAGATAGCATTTCTCATGGTTTGTTTCTGTGATTTCTAGGGCTCCAATTCCAAATATGTTCATTAGATTGTGGATTTTTCCAACAAATTTTAAGGGCTTGTTTGATATCCTATTTGAATTTTTTTTATCATTTCTCAAAACATTTCTTGAAAACAATTTTCTTTAAGACTAAAAAACTTGATTGGTTTGCGATTTAAAATTTTTAAATCTATGACTTAAACTAGACAAAGAGATCTATAAAGATGAGGGGGTTACATGAGAGGGAGAAAGAGGAGAGAGGAGAGAGGAGGAAAGAAAGTAAAAGATGATTTGAATGAAAGAGAAAAAAGAGAGAGGATCGGACAAGGTAAAGAGGAAGATGAGTAAGAGAAAGAACCGAGATAATGAAGAGAGAGGGTTGGAGGAAAGACGAAAAGGTAAAAAAAAAAGGAGGAGAGAGAAAGAAGAAAAGAGAGAGATATTATAGATTTGGAGTGAGAGGGATATATAGATTTGGAGTGAGAGGGAGGAGGAAGAGAAAATGAGTCAGTTTAAGTTTAAAAACTCTAAAAACTCAAATTTTATGTTTATAGGGAATAGATTATATTTTTGAGTTAGTCTTGAGTTCAGTTTTTGAAAATAGTCCTACCAAACAAGTTTTTAAGGCCTAAAACTTGAAAATTGTTTTTGAGTTTAAAAAGTTGGATTCAAGTAGAGTACCAAATATGCCCTAAACTTTATGACGTTTTATTGCAATTTTTCATCTTTAATTTGAGGGCCTCATTTTACTTCTCACACATCTTTTTAATTTTCGGATGTCGGATCGGATGAATTGAAGAAGATCAACGAACAGAAATTATCAAGTGGTGTGTGAGAAGTAAAATGGGGTGTGTGGATAGCACACCCCTAATTTGATCGCATCCAACTCATTTGAATCAAATCTTAGCTTTAGGAGAGCAATTTAAGAGAGAGAGAGAGCGGACAGGGGAATCAAAACCTTGGTTCGATGTCTCTTTTAAACTTCTTCCCCTTTACTTGCAGATTCACCCTTTTTTTTTTTACTGTTTCGATATTCTTAGTTCCACTTTTTTGATTTAATTCTTTTGCTTCGAACGAAATTAGTTGAATTGATGAAGCAGATCTCTTGCTTTCTGCAACTCTCCAACAAAGCCAATGACTATGTAGCTTTTAAGGTTGTAAATTTTCACAAGATAAGTTAATTTCTAGATTTGTTTCTATTTGGACTGTTACAAATTTGCAATCTTGATTTTGGTGTAAAGTTAGTTCACGAAGGGTCTGGCGGTGAAAATAGGACATTTGAGGTGTGATGTATAAAAGTTATTTTAGGGATAATAGTGGGTGGAAAATAAGATGTTAAATTCTTTTCTTTTTTTTTATTTTTTTTTATTTTTTATTTTTTATGGCGGAAGGAATAATAACGTGTGAGAAAATAGAATAACAGGATGAGTTTATCAGCACTAAAAAAAAATGACAGAGTATTACACAAAGAACCCAGATCCTCTCCGGATTTTAAAAAACCGAGCTTAAGGATCAAACGATTTGAGCCGTTGAAATTTGATCCAACGGCTACAAACAGGAGGCCTTCTAAAAGTTATAATAGTTGTAGCCGTTTGATCAAATTTTAACGGTCCAGATCATTTGATCCTTTGGCTCAGATTTTTTAGATCCGAAGAGGATTTGGGTTCTTACACGAAAAATGAGTGCCAACAACAACAAAAGTCACTGCCTGATTCGCTAGCTTTGGTGAATGACAAGTCTATAATTATATAGGAAGAAGATGGTCATGTAGGTTATAGGAAGAAGATGGTCATGTAGGTTTAACATAAACTAGCGTTCATGTGCGTAGAGCATGCAAAAGACATTTTTTGAATCACATTATTGCGAGTTCATTGTGATGGTAAGTCTATCCCCTCCTCCTTAGTATAGATAATACGAGCGCAAAAGACCATTTTTATAACCAGCACTACTCGCCTCTTAAGATGTTTTGAACGTGTTTAAAAATAGAGAAAATAATATTTAATTAACAACTGATTGAATCATATTATTATTATTAAGTCATTGTGAGGTACTAATTATAAAAATAAAAAAAATAAAAAAACTTTATAAAAAAAATTAATTGTAAAAAAACACTGTTTATATTACGAAAATACTTATGCATTATTTTAGGCTGTTTTTGAACTTTTTTGTTTGGAAGGCATTTTTGTCCCATCATTTTTTGTGAAGCCCGTGACTACAAATGGGCTTCTGGCTTTATATAGTAGTATAGATAAGAGTTATCTTCTTTATATGTAAATTATAGACTTGCCATTCAACAAAGCTGGAAATTTATGGAATAGCTGCAGTCAAGTATGTGCCGCTTGCTAGGGATTTAAAAACTAAAAATGAAACCCGCAACTAAATAGGTATTATTGTACGTACCTGAAATAGGTACGTACTCTCAACTAAAAATGAAACTCGCAAGTAAATAGGTATTATTGTAGTAGAAACTGAAACCTGAAATACAGAATCATATAATTAAACAAACTACAAGGAGTGAAGAAATGTACGTACTCTCCCTCTTTGACAGTATGTCCTGACAAATTTGCTACTTCTTTTAGAGCACTCCTCCATAAGAGGATCTTCTCCTCGTCCTTGTATTTGCACTCGAGTCCTGTAAATGCGTCACCGAAACTACTCGTTTGATTTCGTACATGGGACGGATCCACCTTGTAGAAAACTGGCCAAATTATTTGCTGCCTTGACCTTCTACATTCAAGGATATGTGTGAGCTCATCCAAGCACCATCTTGACGATGCATAATTTTCAGAGATTACAATGATGGAAATTCTCGACTCTTCAATTGCTTTTAGAAAAGCTAGTGATATTTCTTCTCCTCTTTTAAGATGGCGATCAATGAAGGTGTTGATTCCGTTACGGTCCAAGGCCTCGTATAAATGATCTGTAAAAGTAAAGCGTGTATCCTCACCTCTAAAACTCAAAAATACATCGTATCTCCATGAAGGAGGCAAGCAAGAAGAAGAGGCAAGTTGAATGGCCATAAGAGAATTAAAGACAAATAAACTAAAGAAAAGAGCCTCTCAAAGAATTGGAATATGCAGTATGGTACGGAGTGTGTACAATGGACTCTCTCTTGTTATATATATCAGGCTGCATGCTTTTCTTGCTGTGAAGGAAGCAGCAGTTTCCTACCACCTTCAATGTGAATGTGGACTCTCTCTTGTTATATTAGTTCTCATGCTTTTCTTCCTACCTACCAAGCAATTTCCTACCTACTACATTTCAATGTGAATGTGGTCAAGTTGAAGGAGATGAATTTTCATGACAATTTCATTGACGATTGAAAAAATAAAATTGTTACTTGGCGGTCTATAATTTAAAGAAGAGGAAGTTTCTTTGCAAACTACTACCGACTACTTTTGATGTAACAATCCACCATTATAATGAGGCTTGCTTCTTAGATTGCCACGATATAGGATTTGGACCCATGAAAACAACAAACCTAGTGACGGAACCCCTTGTATTTGGATCTGCAGCCGAATCAGAATCTGAGAAAGCAGTCAAGGAAGTGTCTTGTGATGCTGAATATGTAATTCCACACTGCATAGTTCCTTGAATATACCTTAAGATCCTTTTGACTAGATCAAAATGTATATCAGTAGGATTAGTCATATATTGACAAGCCACACTCACAGCATATGACAAATTTGGTTTAGTAAAAGTCAAGTATTGCAGAACACTAACTAGACTCCTATATGCATTTGGATCATCCAAAGCCTTACCCCCTTAGTAGCTAGAAGTTAGGTATGAGGCTTACATAGAGTTGCAGTAGGTTTGCAACCATCCATTGCAGCTTTGTGAATCAAATCTCTTGCATACTTAGACTGGTTTATGAAAATATCCCAATTTTCTTTATACTCAACCTGTAATCCCAGAAAATAGGCCAATATGCCCAGATCTTTCAATTCGAACACATCTCCAAGCTCCTGAATTATGGCCTGAACTTTACTTTTGTTGGATCCAATGAGAATAATATCATCCACATATAACAAAAGGACAACAATA